ATATAAGGGTATTTATATAAGTATATGCCTGCTTGATCCGCATGGCGAATGCATTAAGCAACGCATTGTCATACCTCACGTAATGGGCTACAGGGTATCCGCTAGTCGCAGACCCTTGCTGTGCTTCAGATATATTAGCTTAGCTTTCATTCATTCATTGTTGTTGTTGTAGTTGAGCTGTGCACCTAATTAGCCTACACTCTATCTGTCCCTCTCCATCTCTCCATCTCTTTCGCTCTCTGTGCACATACTTACAGTGCGAGCCGGTGGGCGTGGCTTAGACGCGTATCACCTCACCTGGGGCCGGCTTCGGGCAGAGGGCATCGTCGATGCTGTCGCGCAGTCGCAGCGCCGCATTCAGTTCGTCGTCGACGCTGTCGCTGGCGTTGGGGCGTGGCTGCAGATCCGCTCCAGCCGTCTGTCAGGTGGTTGGTCACATGAACATGTCCGCCGTGGTGGCGCCGCTCGACTTGCGCGGCGTGGTGGGCACGCCGTGCGGACAATGTGTACCACCAGCTCCAGCCCCAGCCCCAGCTCCAGGTCCAGCTCCAGGCCCAGCAGCCGACTTTGACTCATCCTCGAACGTCACCATCTTCTCGCTGCGCGGCTTGAGGGTCACAATTTGCAGTTGGGCTGGCGGCGGGGCGGATGGGGTGCTGGCGGCACAGAGCAGCGTCTGGGGCGGCCCCAGCTGGAGGCCGTGCGGCATGCCCATGCCCATGCCCATGCCACCCATATTGACGCCCATGTTGACGCCGACGCCCATGCCCATGGGCATGCCCATGCCGCTCATGTTGGGCGAGAAGCGGCGCGGCGGCGGCAGCGCCAGGTCGCCAACGCCGGACAAATTAAATTCGCTTATGCTGCGCGGCACAAAGTACTCCATGTGGTGCTCCGGTATGCCGGTCGAGCGGCGTATAGGTGTGTTCCGCTGGAACGCCGAGGAGGAGGCGCCGCCGACGCCGCCATGCAGGTGGCTGCGACGCGGCAGCGAGCTGTACTGGGTCAATGTGTGCGCCGGGCCAAAGAACATGGTCTGATGCTGGCCTAGACTGTTGGCCTGAGACTGAGCGCCCGTGCCGAGGGCGGCGCTGCCGCTGGCGCCCAGCATCTCGGCGCTGGGTCGTTGTCAGGAGGGCTTCGGCGTCACTGCCACCGTAACGAGAGCCAGCTCCTCCACCTTGGGCGTGACATGATCCTGCACACTGAACCGACGCAGCCACATAACAATCTCCGTCTGTATCAGGCTGAAGCACATGGCCACCACAGCCATGCCGACCAATATGTAAGCGGAGGCCGTATACAATGTCAGGGTGCCGCTGGGTGCCAGCTCGCCGAAGCCAATGGTGCCCAGCGAGGTGAAGCAGAAGTAGAGCGACTCCAGCACGCTCCAGCTCTGCAGCTTGTGGAACAATATCGCTCCGCTGGTCACATAGCAGACGAGCACGCACACACAGATCGAGATCGGCACGCTGGGCGAGCCATCCAGAGCGGTTTTGGCGCCCTGCTGCTGCTGCTGTTGTTGCTGTTGCTGCTGTTGTTGCTGCTGCTGTTGCTGCTGCTGCTGCTGCTGTTGGTAGACGGAGGGCGGCACGCCGTATTGGTGCATCTTGCCAGTCCCCGGGTGGCCGTATTGCTGGCCCTTGGCCTTGTCTGGCTTGCGGCTGCCGCTGGGTCCAGGCGTGGGGCCACTGGCGACGCTGCCCTTGACGCGCTGCCGGCGGAACAGGCAGCGCATGCCCGTGGAGAGGGCCTCGCCCATGGCGGACAGATACAGCAAGACGATGGGTATGCCGAAAAGGGCGTAGACGAGAGCAGCCACGCGGCCCCACTGAGTACGGGGTGAAATGCCGCCATAGCCTGTAATGAAAAGGGAGCTAGGATAAGTATGACAGTATAACAAATTTGAAGTAGCACAGTATAAGAGTCGTATAAGAAACTGCTGAAAGTGTGCCCATGTAAACAATTAAGTTGTAGAACAATATAAAAGTATTACAGTCCAACAGTATAGCAATACCAATAAAATAGTATATCAGTATAACAGTATGCCAGTATAACAGTATAATAGTATACCAGTACAACAGTACAGCACTCTAACAGTATAGCAGCATATCAGTGTAAACGTATAACAGTAATATACTCAGTTATACTTGGCTATTTGTACTAATCATCCCTATGATGAGTTTATATGAAATAAAATATGATCGAAGTCACAAGTTATTGTTTGTTTAGTATAACAGATTATAGAACAGTACTATATAAGTGCATGCGTAAAGGTTTCGTTATTTTGTGAACATAAATAAACGCATTCGAAATGTTGATTGATCTGAGTATAACAGTTTTCACCACATGTCTTCATTAATCTATGAAAACAAGCAAAAGAAGACTCAAAGTAAATAGTTCTTATTTGAAAAGGGTTTCCTACTAAGTATAACAGTTTATATAACAGCTCTCAGGGAACTTATAGACTAGCTGGGGGCCAGTATAACAAAGTAATCATGCTTCCCAGATATGCACGTGGATTGCTTAAAAATAGGTCAGCATTCGAGTCAGAATTCCAATTAGACGTGCCCCATAGCTCAAGTGCCATGTCAGATATTTGATTTTTTTTTTTTTTTTATATGTATACGCTTTGCTATATTTATATTACAAATGAAATATTTTTTACTATCACTTAACAATTTATACAACTCTCTGATGGCTTAGTGTTGTTTTTACTCTGTTTTTTTCTTGTTTGAATTTTTTTTTTCTTTTTCTATGTATTTTTATTTTTATTTTTAGCTTTATAGCACATTCTTGTATCTGCACATTACATTGCATTACATTACCATTGGAGTACCAGAGGGTCAGACTGAGTAATTTGCCTGCTGTTGGTGCTGCTGCTGATGCTGCTGCTTTAGCTACTGTTATACCAACTACAACATTTTTAATTTTTCCTGTGTTGGCCACAAAAAAAAAAAAAAAAAGGAAAAAAAAAAAGAAACAGCAACTTTTACGGCCAGACGTTTTGCTTTGACTCTGTCTTTGATGTTGTCGCCCATGCTGGCTGCCTGACTGCGGCTGGCCCAGCAGGAGGAGGGCAACTCTGCTCGTAGTCGTAGCCGTTATAGCCGATGGGCACGACCTAACCCAACACACGATGATGGCAACCCTACCC